ATCCTTCAAGATTCAACTCTAACTGTTCCTCATTCCGCATTAAACACTTACCTAACCACCCATGTGTAAAGTGATCTTTCTGCCATTTCTCTTCTGACTTGCTAAGATAATTATTTTTAATTACATCATACTTTACTTTCGCCAGGTGTTATAATTATATAGTCCATTATACTTTTTCTGATACTGTAATGCTAAAATGTCATTATATATATATATACACATATATAACTCTGAAATGTTATGTATATGTGTCTGTGCTTAACCTCTCAGTTGTGACCAACTCTTTTTGACCCTATGGTCTGTAGGCCTCCAGGCTCCTCTGTCTACAGGATTCTCCAGGCCAAAATATTGGAGTGGGTTGTCACGCTCTCTCCCACGTGATCATCCCAACCCAGGGATTGAACCCATGTCTCTTGCATTGCAGGCAAATTCTTTACCAGCTGAGCTACAAGGGAAACCCATATATGTGTATATATAACTCTAAAATGATATCATATATCTATACATGTATATGTATATAGGTATATATAATATAATATAGCTTTTACCCTACCTCCTTACCGCACTGAAAGTCCTTTGAGGTCGTGCCTTTCAGTTTATATTTTCTGTTTATTTATATCTTCTACAGGTCCTAGGATCAGAATTTTTTCCCACAGCGGTTCCTCAGTCAGTATTCGCCGATTCATTGTTTACTTAGTAGGTTACTAGACATTCAGATATTTAATATGTTGGCTTGGTGTCCCAGTACAACTTATTGATCAATACTATGAAAATAATAAATCTCTTGACTGCAATTGATAAAAGAGATGCTCGTGAACATTCAGGAGTTGGAGAATAAAGCAACTGAATGCTTCTTTGCCATGAAAGACAGGCACATATCTCCGTAGCTTTATCTTAATTCATCTCTTGCCCAGTCCGTGTCTCTATTCCCATTTTGCCTTCATTGTTCAGAGTAGAGACTCTTTACCTGGAATCTCTGGATCCTTATACAGTCCTACGAATGGATTTTGTCAAGTTTTGGAAGCCAGCAAAATGTCATGCATTTTAGGATTAGAAGAAAACTAGACAGTTTTTTTACAAGTAGCAGTTTAAACCCAAGCTTATCTAACTGAAAAGTCCCTGTTTTTCCAGCTATATCACTTATTACATCATATCGTTTATAGTATTTCTTGAGTTACTAGGCAGATAACATCTGTGAGCTAGGACAGGGATGTGATCCAATCACCAAACTGGTATGTCCAGGGAAAGATTTGTAACAACCACGCCCCCAGGAGTGGCCACAGCAGAAGCCACTCTGCTTCTGAATGAGTGACACTTTTATATTATTTGAGATATGTCAGGGGCAGTTCTAAATGCTTGATGTATTAGTCGTTTTTTTTGTTTTTTTGTTTTTAAACCTCACAGCAAATCTATAAGGTAGGTAGTACTAAGGTTAGATATATTTTATAGATTAAAAACCTAAAACATAGAGAGGTTTAGTTACTCATATGCAAATCGCAAGAACACTAAACACAGTGGTGATAGGATGGGGGAGTGGAGTAACATGGGGAAGAAGAAGAAATGTTGTTCCAGTCCATCCTGCATACTAGGCTGGCCTGACTTCCACCTTCGCCTTCTTTCTTGGCTAAAGAAGAAAAACCATCTAGGGTGGCTAATAAAGAGCCAGACACCCATTCTAGCTGCTGACCTTACTTTGAAGAGTCAGTCTAAGAATAAACCAGTCACAGATTTGTGAAGATAATCACTTACTTCCAGACCTCTTCGAAAATAAAGGGTGTCAGAAGGAGACCTTTCGAAGCTCTGGCATTCTTCACATCTTAGTATGCAGGTATAGTTTAGACCATTTGTGTTTGATGTCAGTGGGAAAGAGTGACTAGCCCTGAAATGAACTTTGACAACATGCAGAATGTAGTCACCCACTTAACTAGTGAGTTGTCAGTAGAAATCACTGTTTAAGTGGTTTTTACAGCAGATGTGGTATCTGCTCTGAATCTGAATATTTCAAATATCTATGACAGCAGCCAAGGTTTCAGTGAACCCTACCCCCAAACATTCCAAGCCAGGATAAGTTTCAGCCTTCTCCACACATGCATGGCTTCTTGCCTCAAAATTGTTTCATTTCCCATTTGATTGCAAAAGACCTAGATTTTGACAGTGGTCCCTATGGCATCTTTATGACTTGCTATGTGTGACTTTTTGTAACTTCATTTCTTCTATCTAAAAATAGGTATGATGACAGATGTAATTTAACATCTGATTAAAGGCACAAATTTGAAATAAACTAACATTCAGTAAAGTCCTTAGGATTTTGGAGGTGAGGTTCTTACTAAAACTTAAAAGATAGAAATATTTGTTCCTCCACAAAGATAAAGTTTAAAAAGAATTGTAAAACCTGGTCACAGTTTTTAAACAAGTCTACAAAGACATGTTACTCAAAATTTTTTATTACTAATCTTCTATAACTTAAGAGTTTGAGCTTTCTTAAAATGAAGTATAGTTACAGTAAAGTAGATTAGGTACTAAAATACTTGGGTATTCACTTCTGTTTTGCTTCTTACTAGCTCTGTGAGTTTGGGCAGGTCATTGGACTTCAGTAAAATGATTTCCCTTGCCCAACTTAAACGATTGCTATGATATATATCAGAAAATAATAAAAGCTAACATTTACAGGAAGCTTAATTTCCTGGGATAACAGCAATGCTCTGAATTACATACCTTAAACCTTTGCCTCATTCCATCTTTATTTCAACATTATGAATTAGGTAATACTTTTAACCTATTTTACAGATATGGGAACTCAGAGAGGTTGAGTGTGCTGAGTTCATACAGCTTACTATCAGAGGAAAGAAACTGGTTGTGAAACTTAGCCAAAACAGTCCTGTTTTATAAAATTAAGATGGTCTGTATATCAAGATAACGTGTCTTTCCCGCCTGTTCTAATTCTTCTTCTTTTTCTTTAATACCCTCTTCCCCTTCTCTTTCTCCTTTTACCCCTCTGGTAACAATTGCTGCTGTTATTCATCATCTACACTGTAGCACCATAGTAGATTGTTTTCTGTTCTTTTCTTTAATTTTTATTTTTATTGATTTATTTCTTCTGGGGCTGTGCTGGGCGTTCGTTGCTGCTCGTGGGCCTTCTCTAGTTGCGGCAAGTGCCCGGGGGCCCCTCTTTGTCCTGCGATGGGGGCCTCTCACTGTCGTAGCTTCTCTTGTTGCCCAGAAGAGGCTCTGGGGTACAGAGCCTTCAGCAGTCACCACGCGGGGGCTCAGTCGTTATGTTTCAGGGATCCAGAGCACAGGCTCAGTAGTCCTAACGTGTACTTAGGTGCTCCCCAGCATGTGGGACCTTCCTGGACCAGGGATGCAGTCCGTGTCTTCTACAGTGGCAAGCGAATGCTTGACCCCTAAGCCACCAGCGAAGCCCAAATTGGGTTTTGATAAAGAGTGAAGCAGACCTGGGCAAAACAATAATCATCCTTAGTCAATGATCTATCTATCTTCATTTATGGTCATTCATGAAAAGTTTCTTAAGAATTTACTTTGTGCTGATTGTGGGGACACAAGTATGAAGAGGATGTGTTTTATTCCTTGAGATGAGAGATGTACATAACTAACCCTAATATGAACAAATGATTGCATGTTATAAGAATGAGATAAATGTAAGAGGAGTTCAAGAGGAAAAAGGTAATTGATTCCAGGTAAGAGGATCATACGGCTTCCCTTGCATCTCAGTTAGTAAAGAATCTGCCTGCAATGCAGGAGACCTGGGTTCATTTCCTGGGTCAGGAAGATCCCTTGGAGAAGAAAACGGCAACCCACTCCAGTCTTCTTGCCTGGAGAATCCCATGGACAGAGGAGCCTAGTGGGCTATAGTCCATGGGGTTGCAAGAGTCAGTTACCACTTTAGTGAATAAACCACCACCATGGGGTTCATGGATTTTGCACCAACGTCCAGAGAAAATATTTGCCTTCTTCTAAATCATCAGACTAACCAGGCATGAGGTTATTAAATGCCAAGGAGAGGAGTAGGGTAAGGTGTTAACATTATGGAGACTGGGCTTGGAAAATAAGGCAAAGTATCATGTGATAACAGCCCTACCCCTTCTTCTTTAGGTAACACACTTAAAAATTTAATCCCTTCAAGTTTCATCAAGGCAAAGTATATTTACTGTAGAATTGTGTACTTAGATGGCTAGAGAAGGGAAGAAGGGAGGGTGGAGAATGGAAGGGTTATCCTCTCATGTTTCACAGATGTTGATTTCAAGTTTCCACCTGGTAACAGCCTAGGGGCCAGGGCATAAAGATACAAGTCAAAACATAGAGACACTCAGAGAACTGACAGCATCCAGCAAGGGAATTACAAAAACTCAAAAAAGCTTTCACTGGCTGAATAAATATCTTTCCTTGTATTTGCACTTTCTTTTTTCTATTTACTGAATTTGGAAAGAGCCATAGACTTTATTGCCTTTTCAAATTCTGGATTATATAAAAGTATAGCCTACAAAAATAAAAATTTTCATATACAGACTAAATTAAATTGTGATCATCTTCTAGTATCTATGTGCTTTATTTAAAAAAAACACGCACAACTGGTAGACAACAAGAAAGGTTTTAAACTATAAGTAAGGAAAGTAATAAATGGTGTGCTTTTCATATAAAATCATGGCTTTCTTCCAGGGAACTTTAGAAATATGTTCAAGATATATAGAAAACCTCCATAGCAGAGTACTTGAATTTTTGAATTTGCACAAATAGCCCAAGGCAAGTAAGAATCTGAATGAGTACTCATTTATTTTCATAGCCCACACTTAAAATAATTTCATTCCATTTGCCAGACTTACACATCCTGAAAGCAAAAAAAAAAAACAAACAAAAACTGTCATTTCGGAAGTATGATAAATGTGACTCATAAAGAAGACTAGAAAGAGTGGATCAAGGAGTAGGGTTGGGGGTGGGGAAATAAACCCTTTAGTTACAATTTCAGGGAAATGAATCGACACAATGAAACAAATTCCAAGTCAAGTTGCTCCACTACTATATTACAGAAGCAGTTTAGAATTTTAAGCAGATGCAAAAGGAATAAAGCATTTAAATGGGGAGAAAAAAAGGCCGATAAAGTTTCTGGCTACAATACAAGAGACATATCATTACCATATGATCTAATGTGGGTGTCAGCCGGATTGTGCTCATTGAGGGAAACCTTATTTTTTAACTGTGCTATGGAGTAGAAGCAGGAGGTTTTCAACCTAGTGACGGTCACAGAGCAGCACCTTCCCCCTCCTCCTTTCCACACCTGCAAACTCTTTTGCTTGGGCTGAATATTTAGTGTAATTACATCTCAGCTTTGAGGGCTCCTGTGGCAAATCCCCGGATTAAAAGGTATGGTTTTCAATAATTGTCCTGAACTCTGCTACAGACTAATAAAACTTTGATCAAGTTGACAAAAAAGGAATTATTTGGTAAGAGAAAAAGAGGAAAAAAATGTGTACTGAACTTTTAGTAATCTTTATGCAGTGTTTTAAACAAGTATTGCTTGAAAAGAGAAACTAAGTATTTGGTAAAATGGTTGTAATGCATTGTTTTAGTTCTTTCTCTCTTCTTTGCAAAGATGTTTCTTAGAGAAACTATAACCTAACACTGACTCTCTTTATTGATATATTTTGTGTTTTTACTAATTAAATGTTTAGGAAATGTTTATAGAAAAGTATTCTAGACTGGCATGCTATTCATAGTTGGATTGTATATTTAAGAATTTATTCTCCTCCTGAATTCTTGTATACTTTAAGAACTTTTAAACTTCAGAGAAGTGAACTTTGGTGATTAGTTATAGACGTCTAGTGTATATTTCTACAACTTAGAAAATAATAGAAACTGTCATCAGAGAGGTGAAAACAAACACTGACTATATTTATGCTGATTATTAAGGACCTAACTAAGATGATCTCACAGTTAGCTACATAGTTACTAAAATGTAAAGAAGAGACTCTGCCAGAATTTTTGCTGCAAATGAAATTTTATCATAAGATACATTCATTATAGAATGAAAGTGTAGGTTATTTTTCTTTCTAATTTCAAAACAGGGTAACATGATGACCACTGATTAAGTGGGCTCCCAGTGATATAAATACCTGTGGCTTTTTCTTCAAATCGCTATTTTGACCAGAAAAAGAATCAGATGCCTCCTATAGCACCCCTTATTGATAGATGGATACTGCTTTTACTGTTTACTTTTAACTCATTTCTATTATTATTGAGGTTTTTAATTCACCCAGTGCTGGGGCGGGGTGGGGGGGGGGCAGGTAATTTGCTCTGCATTTATAGCTTCACTTATCTCCTGAGGTTTAAATTTTGACTTTGAAATTCACACCAAAGGCATAAATGACATCATACAAATTGATCTGAATGGTATAATTTAATGGGATGTCATTTAAGAAACCTAAAATTATTATTTTTGATAAAAACATTAAATTATGGCAATGAACTTTAGTGAAGTAGTGACATTCTTAGCAATTAGCATTTAGGAAATAGGCATACATTTTGAGAATACTTAAAATGGTTGAAATGAAATTTTAATAGTATATCATCTCATAACAGTCTTTTTGATGTCTAAATGGGCTACTGATATAGGTTTGTTTGTTTTCCTGATTATTAAGAAAGGAAGGAAATGATAAAGAGACTATCACTATCAGTAGCCTACATTAATTATTTTAAGATGCTGTGTTCTAAGCATTATGATACTAATCTAAAAGAAGTTATTTCAGGGAGGAAATTGTGCAAAATACCAAAATACCTGGCCATATTATTTTCCCCAGGACATTCAGGGTTAAAATGCACACCCACACACACACACACACACACACACACACACACACACAAGAAAATGATAAGTAATGGAAGCTAAAAGCTGTCTGTCTGAGTTCAGATTCAACCAAAAAGAATATTGTGTAGAGAATTGGCACCATTTTAACAAGATTAAACAAATATAAATGATAATATTCCCCTGAGCTAATATTTAATATTCTGTTTTTAGGATTAGTGAACCAGGCATTCTTTTTTTCTGAAGAAAAGATCAGAAACAGACATCTGCATTAATTTCTCATTGCTATTTATTAAATCTGCAATTAGTTTGCTTCATTTTTTTCAAAAATTGTAAGACATGAAATATGCAAGGCTAGCAAACTTGTGGTAAACCGTAAACATTGCATTTTAATGTGAAACAGACAGAAAACCACTCCCTGAGATCCAGTCCAAGGGAACCCTGCCAAAACAATAGGGTCTCCTTTAAAAGGCAATGCAGTAACTGAGTGGGAATGGGTTTCCAGAGAGAATCTGATACTGAATTTAAAGGGGCAGTGTGAATAATAATCTTCATGGTATTATTTTAAAGTCTGTATGGTATATTTAAAGCCTGTATTGCATACTGTTGCCTTTGATGTGCTTCAGTAATAAATATAAACTAAGAATAAAAGTATAAGAAATTTTAAAACACTTGTTTCCCCAAAGTGGATCTAGACAAAGATTTCCAGAATATATATTAAGGTTAGCACATATGAAGACTTATATTCTCTGTATTGCTATCATTTGGATAGTGACTGGAAATAACGTAATTAAAGATGATGAGACTAAAGATAATATCTACAATGTGTTTTGGGAGTATTTTGAGCAGTTTTCAGGGAGTTTGAAAATATATATAACAACTCAGACTGTTCTGTCCATGATCAACTACTTTTCATTATTCAGATTTATTAAGATTTTGTTACTCAGATTCATTTAGTTCACTTCAGCCATCTAAACAACCAACTCAATAACAGAGATGTATATATATCTAGAAGGGCTTGTTAAATGAATGGATAAAAATGGTACAGATGTGTTGAAATCATATTTTTATTTGTCAGTTTGTTTACAAAATAATCATATTGGTAAAATTAGATAACATATGTCATATAAAAATCAGATAGGATTTTCCACATGTGTTTACTGGTTTACACAGTCCTTAAAAAGGATTCATTTGAGAAACTATCCAGACGATTTATGTTAAAAACTGAATCATGCTTGTACCAAGTTCAGGTTTTCAATTTGGTATCTTTTTTATGCTAGAGATTTTATATTGAAACAAAGATAACCGTATTTTTAAAAATCAAACTTGGTTGCTTAGAACAAATGGAATGACTTGTATTATTAATAAATTGACGGTCAACTGAGTCATTTATGGGCAAAATATTGTGCAAGGCCCCGGTACAGAACAAAGGATAATAAGACACGCCCTAAAGGAGTACATCTTCAAGTGGGGGAGCAGAGCAAGCACGCAAAACAAATTACAATATAATGTGATAAGTTCTTTAAAAGAGGTAAGCAACGTGCCTTTGGAGCACAGAAGAAGGAGAACGCAGCATCCTGCCTGGATGCGCCAGAGAATACACAAGGGAAGCCCATTATCTCATTTAGCCTTTGCAACTCTCTCACAAGGTAGGTATTTGAAATGGTGATTAGCTTGGAGTGTCAGGGTTGAGGTGGGGACTGGGAGTAGAGAGAAAATGGAGAGGAATGTGGCTTATTATCAGTTGGTGTCAAACGTGCATGGTCTTATATGCAACCAAGGGGATGGAGACCTTACTGGCAAGCTGTGAGAAGTCAGCAAAGGATTTGCAGTAGAAAATTGATACAATGAAATTGAATTTTTAGAAGATGACTTGGGCAGCAGAGTGGAAGATGGCCTGGAATGGAGGAAATACTCAAGACTGAGACTATTTGAAAGCTCTTGTTCAGGGAGTGATGAGAAGGGTCTGGACTGGGATAAATGCAGTGGGATGGAGAAATCAAATTGGCTTCCAGAGATATTTCTGAGCAGGAATTGGAGAACGCTCATGTGTACAGACAAAATTGTTTAACTGTGGCATGGCTTGTGGCCTTGAAAATTCCAATGTGATTTATCATCGCAACAGTTTTGCAGCTTGACTATATAATCTGTGGTCTTAACTCAGACCCCAAATTCAACGAAGCGATTCAAACGCTATTTAAATTTTTCTTCATAAGTAAATAGTGCAAGTTTATCTCTACTGAACCTTATTACCTTCCAAATATATTTCTAATGTTCTGCTCCTAACAGTACATAAAATATTACTGTTTTATGCTTTTTTCTATGTGAACTCCACTTAGGTAACGCATACACTAGGCAAGGCTACTCTTCTAAACCTTCCGCTTATTTCCCAGGTTCCTTGGTTGTGAAAATATACCAGAGAAATCATGAAGGCAACTATCATCTTCCTCTTGGTTGCACAAGTTTCCTGGGCTGGACCGTTTCAACAGAAAGGCTTATTTGACTTTATGCTGGAAGATGAGGCTTCTGGGATCGGCCCGGACGACCGCTTCCATGAAGTTCCTGAATTAGAGCCTATGGGCCCAGTCTGCCCTTTCCGTTGCCAGTGCCACCTGCGAGTTGTCCAGTGTTCTGATCTGGGTGAGTGGGATGCAGGCGCTCTATCGACCTCATCTGCTTTATTCATGGGAATGGCTTCCCTGGGAGTGCAGCATTTTCAATTTCTGCAATTCCAAATGTGAGACACAGTGCCACCTAATGAGGAGTAAGGGAAGGAGAGTAGGAGTGAAAGAAGCAACTTTGAAGTTAGGGGACTTGATTCTTTTAAGTCAGAGAAGCATCACTCTGCTATCTTGGACTAAATCACTAAAAAAAAAAATGTTTTTCTGAGCTTCATGGCTCCCCTTATGTAAAATAAAATTTTGAACAAATAATATCTTGTGTTCTATGATTCCAAGGTGGTAGATTATTTTAAGTCTGTGATTTGCTCCCATGAAATCTTAGATATTAAGAAAACCTGGGTGATCTCTCTACTCTTGGCTTAGCCCAGATAGCAGGGTTTGAACAAAACTGTAAAGTATGCAGTGTTATCAAAAGCAAACCCAGTAAAGTTTTAGAACAAAAATTTATCTTTCAAGTACCAAAATACTCTCATAATCCCTGAGTCTTAGTTTTGCCTCTGCCTTTGGAATTTTGTAATCTAGCTGTTTATATTCTTTAGAAAGTTTCAAAGAAAATCTTTATAACTAACTCATGGTATAAATATTCAATATGATCACGAAGCCTATATCTTTAGCCTAACACTGCAAATGCATTTTGATTTATTATCTTTCAAGAAAAATTTGGCCTGGGAATTCCAAGAGCCATATACTCAGAAGATAAATCTCCAGAAAGTTTGGAGCCCCAACAGATGAGCCAAAGGGGAATGAATTTAGCTTACATGGCAGCTGATTCACATTCCTCTTTTCTTTTGGTTCGTTTTCTTAGTGGAAAGAAAAAAAAGAAGGAAAAAACCTCACAGGATGATTCTGCCATGGAGCATTTCCTTATAGAATAAACCCCATAGCATTGTAGAGTACTTATTTTAGAAATCCTATAGTTATTCAGAATATGCTTTTTAGGGGTATTTTGCAGGAAAATGTGCCACTAACTCCTAGCGCTGGAATAAACACATATAGGAACCCAGGAAAATATGAAGCATGTTAAATAGCAACAGCTGCTGAAATACAAACACTTTGAGCTAGATTCTTTGATACTAACATGTACTGTACAGTCATTTAAACCCAAATAAAAAATGTAAAGGGAGATTTTTAAAAGGCTACAGGATAATACCATTAGATTAATTAATCATTCATTCATTCAGCAGATATTTTGAGATCTTATAATGTGTCAGATCTGTTCTGGGCCCTGGGGAAAAAGCAATGAGGAAGACAAGTATGGTCCCAGTTCTTGTGGGTCTGTTATTCTACTGGTGACGATTTTCCTTTTCTGAATTGTTTATTCGAGACAAAGGGGATTAAATTATTACCAAATTCTACAGAAACTTTTTTAGCATCTAGAGATTGTCCCCATAACTGGTTTAGACAAGATATCTAAAGAAGAGAATAAACATGTGATGGATATACTGGTAGTAAAATTTTTCAAATGTTGCAAAAATGGCTGGGGTTCTTAAGAAGTGTGATGAAAATTGAATCTCACTTCTCCTGAGAACAAGTTTAAAAGGATCCATAATTATCCCTCACTACATATATTATCAACAATAGACTTGATATTTTTAAGGAAGATGGGTCCAATCACTTCACTGAAGTTTTTTTTTTCCATATATATAGTTTTACTTTGCTTTCTTGATAAATAACTCATAAAGCTTGACTCTGATGAAAGCATTGGGACAGTTGACTAATTGTCTATCATGAAAATTTCCCAAGCCTATTGTTCAAAACTAACCAGAAAAAATGTAACCTTAGGAAACATCAAGTTATTGATGTGGCTGTTTCGTGATAGAGTTTCTTGGTTGTCCTTGAGATTGTTTTGTTTATTTTGTGTTGTTTTCAAATGAGACAGTTTTCCAAGTTATCTTTTTCTCTAAGATCCCAGAGAATACATTATTCCTTTAGGCTTACTGATCTTATTTACAGAAGTAGCTAAGATTGAAATAATGATTCATTTTGGGGAACCATGTTTGAAGAGGAGCCCTGAGTTCTAGTGAGCAATGAATGGTCTCCTATAAGTTACTTGTAGTGTTTTTTAATTTCACAGATGAGTAGTTAAATATATATTTAAAAAATTGGTCATGAATTTTTAAAACAGAAAATACAATTTTTTTAAAAAGGAAAAGCAATCCACTTGCCTTTAAAGAAAACACTGTATTCACATTTTCAACTACAACATAGTCTCTGCTCCCTTTATGATCGTGGTAAGCTGTTCAGAGTCTGAACATTTTCATCTGCAAAGAAATCACAGTCCTAAAGATCCTATTATGTGTGTGAAGTACCTGGCCCATAGTAGAGGTTCAATAGGTTTTGTGTAATCATCATGTGTGATGATTACATGGAGTAAAAGATGAAAGAAGCATAGGAAAAAGCAAAGAAGAAGTGGACAATCTCATTCACAGTAAAAGCATGCGTGCTAAGTCACTTCAGTAGTGTTCAACTCTTTGAAACCCTATGGACTGTAGCCTGCCAGGTTCCTCTGTCCATGGAATTCTCCAGGCAAGAATACTGGAATGGGTTGCCATGCCCTCCTCCAGGGGATGTTCCTGACCCAGGGATCTTGCATTAAGTGGTTCTTTACCACTAGCGCCACCTGGGAAGCCTAAAATAAAGGCAATGCAGTTTATTTTTTAAGTTCTCTAGTGAGCTGAACTACTCTTGCCTGGAAAATCCCATGGACAGAGGAGCCTGGTAGGCTGGCAGTCCATGGGGTCGCTAAGAGTTGGACATGACTGAGCGACTTCGCTTTCACTTTTCACTTTCCTGCATTGGAGAAGGAAATGGCAACCCACTCCAGTGTTCTTGCCTGGAGAATCCCAGGGATGGGGGAGCCTGGTGGGCTGCCGTCTATGGGGTGGCACAGAGTTGGACACAACTGAAGCGACTTAGCAGCAGTGAACTGAACATGAAGCTTGAATTATTATCCTTTGTTTTCTTCAGTTGGTAAGCAAATAAAAATGCAGTGCAGTTTGGGATAAGAAATGTGAGTGCTTATCATATAAACAATTAATATTTTCTTAAGGATTATTTTTACCAGAGCTTTTAATGAACAGGGAGGAGCTTCAGTGTTGAAGAACAATAGTGCTTTGTCATCTTATTATCCAAATAGAGTTTAATGTAAGCAAACATTTCTTATTAAAAATATCTGATTATTTTGCAGTAAGAAGTATTTCTGACAAAGGTAAACAACATATCTTTAAACAGTTCTTTCAAAGCTGATATGTAAAAACTGTGAAATTAAAAATGAATAATCAGCCCATGGGAAACTTGAAGTGTTCAAGAAGACCCATTGACTATTTTAGTTCCTAGTTTCAACTTATCTGAAGAGTATTATCATATGTTTTTCTAGAGCATGGGGGATTGAAAAAGTAAACATATATTTTAGCCTAAGAAAGTTATGAATTCCCCATTGATATTGACCAAATTATTTGGTTGAACTTGTATTTAACTTGTGATTTGAACCATAATTTTATGAGACACATATTATTTTCATTATCTATCCTTTTAAGGCATAAAAATTCACTCATAATTATAGCATTTATAAAAATATCAATATAAAAATCAATGTAGGATTAGCAAATTCAGAAACCTATGGATTTCCTTAAAATAATAAACCCACAATGTAGCTCATTCTTGTCAGATCTTTTGAAAAGATGCTTTATTTTACATACCTAGTACCTTAAGGGAAGACAGTTCTCTTACTTACTTTTTGGCCCAGCCATTCATCTTTGGATCAAGTGTCACCAAGAAGCATTATTTGGTACTTTCATCTCATTTATTAAAGACAGATCATCCCTAACTGGTGAAATAAGCATAAGTATTGTTTTTTTGACTATTCTTCCAAATTAAAGCAAAGTTTATTAAGATTTTTATTATAAACAACTTTCAAAAGATTTGAAATACCCTTAAAAACACTTGATTGTGGAAAGATCTTGGGTCACGCAGTTCAACATCTCTGAACTCAAGTTCTGCTTTACTATTTATGGTAGCTCAAACAGTAATGAGTCTGCCTGCAACATAGGAGACCTGGGTTCAATCCCTGGGTCGGGAAGATCCCCTGGAGAAGGAAATGGCAACCCACTCCAATATTTTGCCTGGAGAATCCCATGGACAGAGGAGCCTGGTGAGCTACAGTCCATGGGGGTTGCAAAGAGTTGGACACGATTGAGTGACTAACATGGAGACTGAGACCTATAACGTTGAAACTTTCAAAGCCTGTCTCTTCACTGGATAAATGGGAATATCACTTCATTAGGTAAGAATAGAAAATATTTATACAAAATATATTTCATAGTAAATTTTATGTTCCGTTTACTACTTAAGTAAGCTAATAACATGAGCCTATTTCTCATTATGGTCTTTATTTTTATATGAAATTAAGAAATACTAAGTATATGGCTTGCCAAGCTGGATACAAAATAGCACCTTTTTTCTGCTCTCCCCCAAAGAAAGCCATATCACATCCAAATATAAATAGGCAAAAATTAGAAAATTGTATAATTATCAAATTAATATAATTATCAAAATAATATTCTCCAAAGACTATTCCTTTGAACTAAATTGGTTTGGTTGAGTAGAGAACAATAAAGTGTTTGGCTATTTTATAATCATAAATGATTCACGACCTATATAATTATATAGGCATCTTCTCTAAAGAAGATGCCAGAAGGTGGAACATTTTATTTTTCCAGGCAAAAGCATTATGAATAACTAATGTTTTTAAAATGTACCTCATAATGCAAATAATATTTTACTTGTCTAAAATCTCAGGAAAATCTACAGCCCTTTAAATTGCATAGTTTTCTTCTTTTTAAAATCATTTTGCTTCAGTTAGGAAAATTTTGTCAGTGGTCACCACTTGAGACTTAGATGCCACAGCATCTAAGGGCAAACTGGTTTTTTAGAAGCAAATCTTATGTATGAGGTAAATGAACCATTAGACTTCTTCCATGAAATCATCTTGGAAGAATAAATTAGTCCTCTTTGTCAAGGGTCAGAGAGAATGCTGGAAGCTTAGTTGCTTTCATAGTTTATGTCTAGTTTCACATCAGCAGGGATG